AAACATGTTTATATATATATATATATATATATATATATATATATATATATATATATATATATATATATATATATATATATATATATATATATATATATATGGCAAAGTGAACGTTGTTAGTGTCGTGACTTGACTGAAAACCCAAATTTCTAAGTGTCGACGAATTGGTCTCTAAATTCCGTAAAACTCCTCAAATTTGTCCAGGATATTTACATGGATAATACTTAGCTTTTACATTCCTCATTATTTTCTCTGCCTAGATTTAATTTGAGGTGGTCACGGAGCCCTAACACTGAGGGCAGCCCCACCTACCACTCCAGCGAGGCGCTGTACTGTACTATACTGTACACAACACAACACGGTAGTACCAGCGTTGTTTTCATTATTATTATCAATGATTTAAATAAACAAAGAGATGGAAAACATGACGTTGACACCCTCCATTATATATACTAAATAATAAGTACACAGTAAATGTTGAAGGGGGTGAGGCACCAGAGGACACCATTACACTTAACGTGGTCGCTTACATGACAGTGATGAGTCATTAGTCTGTCACACCCCCGAGGTCATGGGCCATGAAAAGGACACGAGGCAGTAAAGGTTGGAATGTTGACATACATTTAAATTTTCAAAATAACACAACAGGCAGTTTAAGTTAAGTAAATCTAACTAATCTACCCTAAAGCCTTTCGGACCGAATACCACTCCGCAAAGACATCTTGCAATGTATCTCTCCTCCGACGACCACGTGACAAGCGGATGCCGCAGCGTTAACGCATCAAACATGACGTTCGCCGCAGCACGGGTGGGCGGAGTCTCTATAGAGAGCATGAAAGTCATTACCTCTGTAGTGTCTCATCACTGTGAGGCGCCTCGCCCTGAGCATGATGGCCTTAAGGCGTCCCTGAGTTGAAGGCTCCGTCCACGCTTTGCCAGTCAGATTGGCATCTAAATTTATAAAGTTTGCCACGGTCAGTGCTAGTTTATTGTACATCCCACTATCATCCTGTGTGCGTTATGTAAACAATTTACACCTCTGGGTCCAGGGTGCAAACTGAGGCCACCAGGGATGGCAGTCAGGCAGCCATCCGTGGTGGCCTCGGTTCGAACCCGGCACCCAGAGGTGTAAATTGTTTACATTGATTTATTTGTGTATACTACAGGTTCTGATCTATATGCGTTATCATTATATAAGCACATGGGATTTCATCGGACCTTCTACGGTTGGGTTACCGTGCTTTTGGAACCGTGCTGAACGTGTCCGAAACCAAGAGTGACCTATATCCTGACCTGACCTGACCTAACCCTAAATACAGTATAATTAATAAAACCGGACCAAACCGTCCATAAACAAAGACAAATTTACCTACTAACGTGACCTGACTTGACCTAACCTGATCTAACCTAACCTAACCCAACGCAAATATGCTAAAATGAACAATATCGGATCTAAGTGTTCACAAGCAAAGACAATTGATTCTACGCTACGTTTGGATATTACGGAGTTAAATCTGCCACACAGTTGTTTATCAGCGCACATACATTTGTTAGACCTGCTCTTAAGAGATTCAATTTCTCACAAGCTATATAACACACAGTTGCCTTGTCTTTGTCCACACTTTACAGTTTGTATTATTTACACCTGTATAAGAGACACTGCTTACATCCCGGCCTTGGTCTAGTGATGACACCTTGTGACCTAATTACTTGTTCCATATATATGTTTGACGTGCTACATCTCATCATGGTGGACAATCCGCCCACTCGTCCTCACTCAGCATCTCCACCGTGGATGTGGCTCAAAATAAGTCAGGTTACGGTGAGTCACGACACTTACACTCTACACAGTTTATATAAACGTATCTGTCATTATCAGTTAAATAACCCGAGGCCTTGCTGTTGACTGTGTTGCAGCTCCGCCGACGATAATTGTTAAATATGATTACTCAAACTGTCTCAATTTACGTGACAATTTTATTGAGAGAGAAATAAAAAGTACGTGAGGCGGGTCAATAAATTCACTTATCTTTTGAAAGAATCAGTAAGTAAGTTTTACACATCTACACAACCCAAGATAATTTGTGTATATTGGTCAGAGGTTCTCACAACACTAGTGATTGTGGTTATAAAGACTTAGTATCAATATCTCCTGTACTGTACTGTACTGTACATACATGGGCTCTAAAATCAGTGCGGTGTGGCTCCTCATGTCCCTTTAAACGACGAGACCACATGTGGCGGGCGTCGTCCACAGGTGTGTGTGTGTGTGTGTGTGTGTGTGTGAGTGAGTGTGTGTGTGTGTATGTGTGTGTGTACGTAAAGGTTGGCAACGGGTAAACTCTCCTGCATAAATTAATTTTGTTATGACATCTAAGGGTGAAGATCAAGGTAAGAATTCAGATAGTAAGTCTATGATTGGTCAGTGACTGTGTTTGACCTTCCTGGAGTAACTGTATCACAGGTAATATCACCATTACGACGATAAATAAAACAATAAACGATCAACAGCCACCATCACTGTAAAACCTTCAATAAACCACACGTTCTTAAACCTATTAACGAAGCTGTTTCCTTCTTTTGGAAACCTAACCAAACAATACAGTTCACAGAAGTTGACGGGATGCTGGTTATCAAATGAGTCGCTCCTCCATATCCGAAACTTATTATCTTTTTTTTTCTTTTAACATTTAATTAGTATTATTTTTTTTCAAGCGAGGACAAACTAGCAATCTTAAATACTGAGAAAAAACAAATGACGGTAAATGTATGAACGTGACAGAGCGACAACTCGAGTTAATTCAGTTAAGAACAAGAAAAAAATATTACGTTCATCATCCAAGGAAGTGTTACTGCAAACGCTGTGATCAGTGTTTACAAGTTTGATTGATTACATTACCCGGGAAACAGAATGTCATCACAAGGCTCTCTCTCTCCTCCTCACCACAACAACATAGTGGGTGTGTAAGCCAACAGAAACAGAAGTTCTATATTATATAATTTTTAGAAGTTGTTTTTACATTACTGTTGCATGTTTACCCCCTTGATATACGATGAGTTAACCCCTTCAGTACGATGATTTAACCCCTTCAGTACGATGACTTAACTCCTTCAGTACGATGACTTAACCCCTTCAGTACGATGACTTAACCCCTTCAGTACGATGACTTAACCCCTTCAGTACGATGACTTAACTCCTTCAGTACGATGACTTAACCCCTTCAGTACGATAACTAAACCCCTTCAGTACGATAACTAAACCCCTTCAGTACGATGACTTAAAACAATCAAGATTATCTACCATTACCTACATGTATCAAAGCCCTTTATTACCGCGCCAGGATTGTGTTGTATTGTGTGTGCGCACGAGCAGTTGACCCATGTGTGTGTGTACTCTTATTGATTGATGCCCGAGACGTTAAGAGGAATAAAGAAACTTAGCTCTTCCTTGTGTTTCTTTCTCCCACACCCATCAAAACCACTACACTCTATCTGGTTTTTTTTTTTTGTGTTTTTATGGTTTTGTGGGTTTTTTTTTAGCCTTTTGCCTATATTCCGGGATGCAAACTTTGTTGGTGGTGCGTTCGACTCCTTATTTAAGAGTCAAACTGCGGTCATTCTGTCCCATTTATCCACAAAACAGATCTTAACTTTACCCATTTCAAGGTGTCTGTCTGTCTGTCTGTCTGGAATGGGTATAGTTTCTGTCAGGGACTTATACACAACACAACAAACACAACAACAAAACATAACACAACACAACACAACAGCTCACTCAGGTCTCTGGCAATCGATTGAATCTGGTATTTTCAGACGTTCCCGCGGTGCTGTGGCGTCTCTGGTTACAAACAAGGGCGAGTGGTTAATCTTCTGTTTTTGTTACTTATAGTGAATCTTATTGACTAGTTAGTAAAGTAGGAAAAACACTGAACGCCTTGGGGTCACACTGAGGGTCTTGGGGGGTCACACTGAACGCCTTGGGGTCACACTGAAGCCTTGGGGTCACACTGAACGCCTTGGGGTCACACTGAAGGCCTTGGAGGTCACACTGGCTAACACCCTTCCCACGTTTATCCAGGGCCAGCAGTACTCGACATATAAGCGTAAACTAACCTCATAAAACTGGGGTCATTATGAGGCGGTATAAACACGACTCATTGAATTCATGTGATAGATGTTTTTATTCATCAATAAGCAGGTTGTGAAGCGTGAATTATATTTATGATCTATACTCGTGTCCTCGTGTTATGCATCAATCATAATACCAACAGTTACCTATGTCACGATAACTTTTACCTATAACACTCATTATAATCTACCTATATAATTCTTTTAAAATTTCGAGTCAAATAATAATTATATCTACTTTTGATATAACTATAGACACACGTTATATAAGAGTATAATAATTCACCAAATATATCATGACAAATAATATACGAAAGATTATTAATATGTCTTGTTACTATACCCTCCGTTACCTGGTATTCTGCTGCAGGAGTTTCAAGGACAAAGAACATGAGGTGACCTAAACCACACACCCAAGGAAGCTTTATAAACAGAGTAACTGAATCCGTTAAGTTGAGTTTTTTTTTTTTTTTTTTCTGTAATTTTTAGGTTTAGTTAAAATTATGTCGCTAAATGTGATTAAAATAGAGTATTTCCTTGTTAATAATATATAGTAAGTAAAATTTTGCGTCCCAGTACATATTAAAAGACCTTTACTGCAGTTTATATCTACATGATTATTAAGTATTTTACCTAACCTAACCTAACCTAACCTAACCTAACGTTAATCTAACCTAAATGTTTTTAGTTTTAAGTTACTGGTATATGTGACGTTAGTTTACTTCACGTCATCGTTTATAAATTGTTAAAAACGTTAGTAGTCTCACAGCCGTCAGACTTTGTGTACACATAACGTCACCCCCCGCCACACACACACAACCCCGTCTCGGTTCTCATAATCTTGAACTAACACAACTTCTTTTTAATTTCAGGACGCAATGCCTCAGAAGTGCCGCCAGCGAAAAGTTAGTATAGTGCGTGGTGTGGTGTGGTGTGGTGTAGACAGCATATAGTATAGTGCGTGGTGTGTATATGGTGTAGACAGCATGTAGTATAGTGTGTGGTGTAGACAGCATGTAGTATAGTGTGTGGTGTAGACAGCATGTAGTATAGTGTGTGGTGTAGACAGCATGTAGTATAGTGTGTGGTGTAGACAGCATGTAGTATAGTGTGTGGTGTAGACAGCATGTAGTATAGGGTATGGTGTAGACAGCATGTAGTATAGTGTGTGGTGTAGACAGCATGTAGTATAGTGTGTGTGGTGTAGACAGCATGTAGTATAGTGTGTGGTGTAGACAGCATGTAGTATAGTGTGTGGTGTAGACAGCATGTAGTATAGAGTGTGGTGTGATGTAGACAGCATGTAGTATAGTGTGTGGTGTAGACAGCATGTAGTATAGTGTGTGTGGTGTTTTACTAAATCAAATTACACTTCATTTTACAACTTGGTGGGAACATAAAAAAAATATCAACGTGTCGGCTGAGACAGTTCGTTTGTTTCCTGTGCTTAATACCAACACCTTAACCTTCTACCTTTAAGGTATTGGGTCAGTTTCAGATAAAGTCGAGGGCGAGATACAGTTCAAGGTGGAGGTCACACACACTACCACTTTGCTGTCACTCGGAATCAAGTATGACAATCATCTACCTTTGATGCAATGATATGAGTTATTAAGGATGTCACCTTCGTTGGTGAGCTCTGAGGTGACTCGAGAGGCCGATACGGTACCGGCAAGGTCGTCAGCAAATGTTGCACTTGTGGAGGGCTACATCTAGTGCGGGAGGGGCGGCGGCAGCGTCTTTCCGGCGTTGACGCTTATCTGCCCAGGTATGCTAGCTCGAAAGTATTGACACCTCGTGTGGTGCTCCTCCAAGCGTTATAGTGTGGAGTAATCGTCTTCCAGGTGAAGTGGCCGATTTGGCACTTTTCAGGTTTGCCTTAAGACTATCCTTATACCTTTTCAGTTGTCCGTCAGCGTTACGTTTACTATTCGTTAGGTGACTGTAAAGTAGCTGCTTTGGCAGTCTACTGTCGTCCATGCGGGTAACATGGCCAGTCCAACGTAGTTGTTCATGGATAATGGTAGCCTCGATGCTCCTACAGTTGGTGTCAGCGAGACTACTGGCATTTGTTCTCTTGTCTTCCCAGCGAACTCGGAGGATGGAATGTAGACTACGTTGGTGAAAGTTTTCAAGTGTCTTGAGATGCCTTCTGTATGTGAGTGACCCATGTCTCGCTGCCATGTAGCAGGGTGGGGAGGACCACTGCTCGATATATGTGCAACTTTGTAGATAATTTCAGCTCCCTACTGTTGAAAACACGGGTACGGTGTCTGCCAAAGGCTTGAGATGCACATATGATCTGATGCTGAATCTCCTCATCGATGTCTGCAGTAGTGGACAGGTGGGAGCCGAGATACCGAAAGTGGGTAACATTAAAGAGGATAGTGCCGTTAGGCTGGATGGATGGTGATGCGGCACAACCAGAGACAGGCTGAAAGAGTATCCGAGTCTTACGTACATTCACCTCAAGGCCAAAGTGTGCATATGCATCTGCATAGGTGTTCAGGATCTCCTGTAGGTCGCGTTCAGTGTGAGCAACAAGGGTGAGGTCATCTGCATACTGAAGTTCAGTAATGGAAGCTGCCGACACCTTTGTTCCTGCCTGGAGCTGTCTTAATGTTGAAAAGACCCTTCATCCGGTACTGGTTGTCCACCCCACCAGCTAAATTGGCACTGGCACGAGTAACGAAGGCAGTCAAGTAGATGGAAAAGGCATTTCAGTTAGCCTATGTAGGATGCATTGGCGGTTGGCAAATCCCTACTCCATAATTGCGGTTTGTCTCCGCAGCAGGCTTACCCTTCCAGAAGAAGGTATAACTAGACCCCCGTTCAGTGAGTCAACCCTCGTCTGAGAGCCGGGACTCAATAATGGCAGTTCTTTCAGTCCGCTCATTTGTGCCAGTATCCAGAAGGGTCCTGATATTCCATGCAGCGACCATAAGAGGTTGTATAGTTTGTTTTTGCTTTGACCTGTGATTATGATTTTGTTTTCGACCACATAAGGATGACCTTACTGGGTACAGTTGCCCAGTCAGGTTGGTTCTTTAGGCAGGCTATGTTTAGGGTACCTTTTCTAGCCCCCTTCTCCTGTGGGATGAGCAGAGTGGCTCCTCAAAAGGGCTGCTCAGTCACACAGACAGGACAGGATTGCACTGCTGCATAGATCCCAGTGCATAAACAACCGTCTTATCTTTGCCGCCCATGTGCATAGTTGTGACTAGAGACTCCCGGCAGTCATCTCTGCCTGTCCCCGTCGCCACTCGTCCGTCACCATAGGACTTTTGGGGGTATAGGGGTTTTGATAATGATGAGAAGTATGATGAGCTGGATGATGGCTGCATGTGAGTTGATTTATGTGGTGAGGCAGGAGCACAGGCTGCAACCACATATCTTGACTCTCCATTTTCCTGATCCAGTGGTGCAAGTGTTGCAACGACTGGGGAGAGGGAGAGTTGCAATGGACTGCTGATAGCCCAGTTTGTTGGGTTTCGCTTCATCATGCATGACCTTCATCTGCCAATGTAGTCGTTGGGTTTCCCTGTTGGTCACCTCTTCCGCCTCTACCGGCGTTGGGATCTTACTGGAGCCTGTAAACATGCCTGCCCAATGCGAGGCTCCACCGCAGATTTTTCGTTCAGGGTTTACTCCCGTAGCCTTATACCTACCAAGATTAATCGGCAAGGTAGCAGGGCAGTGGTTGGTAGGCACCACGACGTGTCCACATGCCAGTGGGCTTATGTGCCGTCCCTCTGGGGCCCACTGCTGGTCTAGCCTGGGCCCATGAGGCACCCAGTTACCGTGTGTTGTTACGAGGAGGCTGTATACTGGCAGTGGGAGAACTTATGCAATTTGCTTCCCTGTTCGCCACGAGGGCTAGCCATCGGAGGTAACTGAAAGCGAGAGGAAGCACACACACACACACACACACACACACACACACACACACACACACACACACACACACACACACACACACACATTGATTTCATAAACACACTAAATGTTTTATAGTTACATCCGCCAGGTCCTAGAGCTACATGGGTAAGAGGAGTTCAGTCAAAGAATAGAACGTTACAAAACTTTCAAGGTCAAGTCATTCTGGTTATTATTTTAGAACTTAGAGATTACGTTTCCGGCCGGTAAACTAAGACCTTTGTTCAATTAACTATAAATGTGCAACTCTAAATAAGGTTCTAGAAAATGTTTCATAATCACACATGTGTACGAGTGTGTGTTACTGTTTGTCTCTCTCGGTGTCCCAAATGCAACTACAGTTTCCTGGTATAGATGAACGAGGTAGTGTACAAGGACCAGGGAGGAGAAACTCTGTATGGGTGTATGAGTTGCGGTACTTTAGCCTCAGTAAATTGGTCCGGTAACATTCACACAACACGAGTGGTGAGCACGCCGCCACGACCTCCACCACACCCCGTCACGCCGTGGCGGGGACCAGACTGGCGGGTTTTAACAGTTTTACATTTATTAATTATTGATACTTTCTTCTAACCAGTGTATAGCAAATACCGTCCATCCTTAGATTTACCTTTATTCACACACACACACACACACACACACACACACACACACACACAATTAATCTAATATTAGTACAGTCAAGACGCCTGAGGTAGGGTGGTGGCTTGGTGACTGGTGTACAGTACAGTTCAGCGTCGTCTACCTCACTATCATTCACTGCAGCAAGAAGCGACAGTGGCGCCTGTATGATGACCGTTTTTCTCACTAAAGATAAGCCTCCTTGAAATAATAATTACCCGGGGAACTGTTACCACTGACATGGTGGCGATAGTGGCTGTGGGTGGGTAAGTAGACACGTCTCGCGCCGCAGGAAATAACGGGCCACAGGGTCGAACCTCCAGCTGTCGTAAATTATCGTACCTCACCAACTCCCCCTCCAGCCACAGTCGTATTCCACACCATCTCTAACTCCATTAGTTATTATACACTACTTGTGACTACTGTATACTGATCCTCACTCTAGCACTAAGAACTTGGAATATTAGACTTTAATTGACAAAAAACAACTTAAGTTCAGTCTTTGATATGCGAAATAAGATTAGATTTTAATGGCGTAATGAATAGCAAGACTCGAGCCGTAAAATCGATCACTCCTAAAACCCGCTATCGAACGGCAGTAAACCTGGAGTAAATTTACCGGGCAGGTGATTAATAGTCCCATATTTCCTATGCCCGGCTGATTGACTATAATAATAATAATAATAATAATAATAATAATAATAATAATAATAATAATAATAAAAATAATAATAATTAATGTAAATATAAAGCGTCAAGCAACATCGTGGTAAAATATTTATATATATGGTTTTATTCTCGCAACACGTTAAAAAGTTATGCAAGAGGGTTTAGACCAGACAGTAGACGGGTGGACAGTGGTTGAAAAATAACTTATTGACGTCTCCTGACCCGATGTCGATCTATGACAGGGAAGATATGTCAACCACCTGTCTGTCATACCTCTTGGAATGTCAGTGTCTCTGCCCCCCAGACGTCATATGCTAACGTCACACCTCATCTCAACCAATCGGCGAGTAATGTGGCTTCAAGGGGGGTTTGGGGGTAAGGGTTGGGGGGTAGGGGGTAGGGGGTTGGGGGGGTAGGGGGTGTTATTATCTTTGCCAATGGCCGGCTTTCGAACAAGTGCCCAAGTGAGTGACACACAACATGGTTTATTATTGATTTTGAAGTCCTTATAGTGATGCACGGCCAGTTAACACTACATTAAATCTCACGCTTAAGGGGTTAACACACACTCACTCTCTCTCTCTCTTTCTCTCTCAAAGCAACAGTTAACTTATATACACGATAATCACATGACCTTCAGAACTCCACGGTGTTAATATTTAGGTCAGTTTTCACAAAG